GCGGGAGGGCGTCTCGCGGGGACACGAGGGACGGATGCATGTCAGGGACTCGCATTCGTCGACGGGCGCAGCCCAGACGTCAGGGATCTCAGGGCGTAGCGGTGTGGGCGCGGGCGTGGGCGGGGGCCGGGGGTCCGCGGGCCTCAAAGGGACACCAGCTTGGGCGGGACGGAGTCGGGCGACGACAGGTCCGAGGACGACGAGCGCTGCTGCGAGCCGCAGTTGTTGGACGCGCTGGACACGGCGGGCGCCGACACCACGGGCGTGCTCAGCGGCGTCAGCCCCGTGTGCAGGGGCGTGAGGCCCGTGCCGCTGGTGACGGGCGTGAGGCCGGTGCCGCCCTCCATCATGGACTCGAAGTTGAGGCCGCGCAGCCCCGCCGAGGGCGTCTCGATGGGCACGCCCAGGTCGGCCACGCTGGGCGGGCGGAGGGCCACGGGCGCCACGTTGAGGCTGGTGGGTCGGCTGGGCCGGTTGAGGCTGCCCTCGCTCTTGGGGCGCCGCAGGTCCTCCTCGTGCTCCATGGGCTCCTCCTTGACCGCGGGCTCCTCCTCCAGCAGCATCTCCTTCTTGAGCAGGCGAGCCTGGTGGGCGGCGGAGGCGCTGACGGCGACGGCGGCGGTCGTGGTGTTGGTGCCGCTGGTGAGGCTGTTGGCCGTCGTGGACGCCATCTGCTGGCGGCGGCGGCACACGGCCTTGTGGGTAGCAGGAACTCGAGCTCGTCACGCTGCTGCTGCAGGAGCTGGATCTCCTGCTGCAGGCCGTTCTTCTTCTCCTCGAGCTCGTCCGTCTCGTCCTGCAGGGTGTTGGTCTGGTCCAGCCGCCGCTTCCGACACCGGGCGGCAGCCAGCTTGTTGCGCTCGCGGCGGAGGGAGCGCCGCTCCTCCTCCTCCAGGGACAGCTGCAAAGAGAGAGAGGCGGGTCAGCTCGGCTTGTCTCATTCCCCATGCGCTCAACTGCACGCGCTGGGTCCATGTTATAGACACCAACGCGAACAGATAAATAAACACTCACACACATATGAGCATATTACACAGACACCTACAAATTACCAATTCAATCTATGTATCTCTGTCTAAAAAAGTCACAATACACATACACATACATCATGTGTATGTATACGCAGAAACGCACACACGCACACAATATTCACATATAAATACACGAAATCAGTTACACAACTCAAGAGAGACAGAGTTACGAACAGATATAAATAGAGCTCTCGACACAATGCAATCGGGTATAAAAGGGCTGGGCCGATAGCGAGAGGTGGGAGGAAGAAAACCAAACATAGATAACAGATGAAAAAAAATGGGGAACAGATTGCAAGTATGAACTTTAACCAATATAAAACGACGGAGAAATAAAATCAGATAAAAAGACAATGAGAGAAAGGTGATGAAAGGGAAATAGAGAGGAAGGGGGAGAAAGGAAAAAAGAGAGGAGAGGGAAACGCTGAGAGAACGGAAAGGGAAAGACAGAGGAAGGAAAGGGAGGGAAAGGTAAAAATGGAAAGTAGAAGGAAAAGAACATAAAAGGGAAAAGGAGAGGAAGGAGAGATAAAAGGGAAAGGCACAGAGAGAAGAAAGGCAGAGGAAGGAATGGGAGAGGAGAGGGAGAGGGATTAGAGCAAAGTGAAGACCGACAGAGTCCGAGTGCATTGCTGGATACAACGTGGTGAGAGGGAGAGGGAGAGGAGAAGGGGACAAGGAGAAGGAGAAGGAGAGGGGGGCGAGGAGGAGAGGGAGAGGGGACATGGAGAAGTAGGAGAGGGGGCGAAGAGAAGGAGAGGGGGAGAGGCAGAGGGGGGCGAGGAGGAGGGGGAGGGGGGTTCACAGGGCAAGGGTACAGGGTAGGAGGATACGGAGGAAGGAAGGACGAGATTGGGGGTAGGGAAGGGGGGGAAGGGGGGAAGGGGGGATGGTTGCGAGGGTAATATCAGGGAACGGAGAAAAACCCCTTCATGTTTTCCTTCAAAAAAGGACTTCTTCTTCCGCCAAACTGCTCCCAAACGAACGAATTAAAAAAAGGGACACGACACTTAGAGAGGATAAGAAAGAGAAAGAGAAAGAGAAAAAGAATGAGAAGGAAAGAGAGAAAGATAGGAGAGAGAGAGAGAGAGAGAGAGAGAGAGAGAGAGAGAGAGAGAGAGAGAGAGAGAGAGAGAGAGAGAGAGAGAGAGAGAGAGAGAGAGAGAGAGAGAAAGGGAGAGAGAGAGAGAGAGAAGAGAGAGAAAGAGGAAAGAAAGAGGAAGAGAGAGAAAGAGAAAAGAGAAAAGAGAGAGAGAGAGAGTACGTTCGAAAGTTCACGGCGATGAACAAAGTCAATTAGTCAAGTCAGAGCCTCTCCGCGTGAGTATGAGTCAGACGCCCTCGCTGACTCATCCCCGCTGGCGACACTGATTCATGAGATACCTCCCTCCCCCTCCCCCCCTCCCCTCCCACTCCCCCAACTCCCTCTCTACCCCTCTCCCCCTCCCTCTATTCCCTTCCTCCCCGCCCCTCCTTCCCTTCTCCCTTCCCCTCCTGTCCTGTCCTGTCCTCCCTCCCCCCTCCCCTGAACGATCCCCTGCCCCTCCCCCTCCTTCTCCCTTCCCCCCTCCCCCCGTCCCTCCCGAGCATACCTACCCTCCCCATGCCATCCCTACCCCCTCACGCTAATCCCTCTTGCTTATCTTTGCTCCTCCTCCTTTCGCTTCCTTCCTCTCTCCTTCTTATCCTCATTTTCCCCCATTTCCTTTCTCCTTCTCCTCTCTTCTTTCCATCCACTTCCTCCCACGACAGCTTTGCACACTCGCAACTGTACTGAAACACACACACACACACAGCTCACACACCACACACACACACACACACACACACACACACACACGCGTGCACAGGGATCTTCCTCATACCAACACTATCCAGGAAGCAGAGACGTAGGTATTATCTAGGCTACGATACCATTATTCTATCGACAAATTAGGGGCACTCCCCCCCTCCCTCCCCTCTACCCCCTGTCCCCTCTTTAGGTCTCCCTCCTCCCCTCTCCCCTCCCCTGTCTTCAAATAACGGTGGTTGGAGTTTACATTTCTTGAGCAAAACGTTTTTTTTTTCAACTGCTAAAACGTTTCTCAAGGATAGTGGAATACCAAAACGTTGGTGAGTGAACGGAGTGACTGACATGCATGTATGTTTACAAACCTACCTACCTACCTACCTCTCTCTCTGTTTCATCGTTGAAGAGAAATGTCTCTCTCATAATATGATAAGAGAAAATAGATAATAATATGATACAGATGAGAGAGAGAGAGAGAGAGAGAGAGAGAGAGAGAGAGAGAGAGAGAGAGAGAGAGAGAGAGAGAGAGAGAGAGAGAGAGAGAGAGAGAGAGAGAGAGAGAGGAGAGAAGAGAGAGAGAGAGAGAGAGAAGAGAGAGAGAGAGAGAGGAGAGAGAGAGAGAGAGAGAGAGAGAGAAGAGAAAGAAGGAGAGAGAGAGAGAGAGAGAGAGAGAGAGAGAGAGAGAGAGAGAGAGAGAGAGAGAGAGAGAGAGAGAGGAGAGAGAGAGAGAGAGAGAGAGAGAGGAGCAGAGAGAGAGAGAGAGAGAGAGAGAGAAATGGTTTCACGCCCATGACCAAACACGAACCCAACCCACCACCACACTACCCCTTCAGGAGCAACCAAGGGAGCAACCACACCACCCTCACCAGGACGAACGTAACACGAGAGTCGAAACGAACGCGGAGCGAACGGGAGAACGGGAGCGACGTCGGTGCACGTGTACTTAAGCTAGAGAGGTTCGAACATCGCTTGAAAGAAACATTTTAACGGGAAAAAGTTACTCCTTATTTCTCGTATGTATGTTGTGATAAGGGTGGAGTGAGATGCGGTGGGTTTGGTGTGCATGTAGTGGAGGGGTTGTGTGTGTTGTGAGGAGGGGCTTGTGTGTGTAGGTGGAGATAAGAGGCCTATTGTTGGGAGGGGGAGGCGGTTGTGTGTGTGGGTGGTCGGATGTTTGGGAGCTGGGGATTCGTGTGTGTGTGGAGGGGGGAGTAGGGGTTGGGGAGAGGAGGGGAGGGATGCTCGGGAGCCCCGGGCGGATAGGAGACATATCCTATCCTGGCGGTTGTGTGAGGGAGGAACTCGTATCCACATGAAGAGGAGATGAGAGTAGTCAGCGGCTCGTTGTAATGATAGCTACTGTGTGTGTTTGAGACCATCGAGGAGGAGGACGAGATAGAACGTGTGTATTCTCCGGACTGAGAGGAGAGAGGGAGCGTAGTGTGAGAGCGGAGAAATCCGAGGTATAGTGGAGGGTGTGTGTGTGTGAATGTCTGTGTGGTGTGTGTGTGTAGTGATGTGTGTGTGTGTTGTGGTGTGTGTGGTGTGTGTGAATTCTCTCTCCTCTGGCTCTTCACCTCACCGACTTCTTCCTTCCCTCTACCCATCTCCTAGCATCCCCCTCTCCCCCTCCCTCTCCTTTCCAAGTTCAATTCATCTACGCCAATCAGAGAGAGATTCGGCAAATGCGAATAAGTGTAAATATATAAGGACTAATAAAGTGGATATGTCAAGTACTCTGCCCGAACACGAAGCAAATCAGCGCGAGTGCTGGGGAGTGTGCGGTAATAATTGCAATTTTTGTGCAAGTTATATTTTGGTGACATTTGCGTTTGTATGTTTTTTTCTTCTTTGTATGTTTTTCTCTTCTTCTTCTTTGTATGTTTTCTTCTTCTTCTTCTCTGTATGTCTTTTTTTTTCTTTCTTCTTCTTCTTCTTCCTCTTTTTATCATTGTTGTCATCACAGTCATTACTGTATCACATATCAAAAATAATATCACCATTATCATTAGCAGTAATAATAGTACTATCTATTTATCCTTGTCACCATTATCATCAAAATCATCATTATTACTAACATCAGCATCACTGACATTTCTTTCGAGGGGAAAACAACGAAAAATTGAGCTGGATACCTACTGTATAAATGCATAATATTAATTATATTAATTAAAACCTTCACCACGTACCTTCTAACTGCTGCTTGCCCAGTTACCTGTTTCTCGTTAACTGTTAACTGTGAGACTCCTTCCCCTTATGCAAATAATACGATTAAACAGGATAGCAAAACAGAGTCAAATCCTGTTCAGATTCCATATTCTATTTTTAAATAAATAATATAGAAATAGGAAGAAAAAAAGGAAAGAAGGAAAATTCGCATTATTTCAGAATCGAACGCACATTCACATCCACGATGTTGACTAAAGATAATCTAATTATTTTTTAAATTATCATGTACGAAATCAAAGCGCACAATAACATCCATATTAGAAAAAAATAATGTCTAATCACTTCCTTTAATTACAGAAACCATTGACGGAATCGAAACACCCCAATTACATCCGTGACTTTGAAAAAAACTCTAAACCTTATCATTATTATTATTATTATTATTATTATATTATTATTTTATTATTATTATTATCATTATTATATATTATAGAAAAAAAATCCGGAACTGAAAATCCGCTTCTCAAAAAAAAAAAAAAAAAAAAAAAAAAAAAAAAAAAAAAAAAAAAAAACCCTCTAAACCTTATTATTATTATCATCATTATTATTATTATTATTCAATTATTATAGAAAAAATAATTCACGGAACTGGACATCCGCTCCTACAATCCGCCATGGCACGGTAGCGAATTCCGAGTGGAGAGTCTGCGAAGCGGGTGGTTTCCATAGGTCAGTCATAGGGCGCGCTACGTCGATAAAGCCACACCTCGAACGTGCGGGTACATGTGTACTCGGGGGCCGCTGTCGGTTCATCCACTCTCTTTCTCGTCTCTTTCGCTTTCGCTCTCTCGTCTCTTTCGGTCTCTCGTCTCTTTCGCTTTCGCTCTCTGTCTCTCTCTCTGTCTCGTTCTCTATCTCTCTCTCTTTCTCCTGTCTGTCTGTCTCTCTTCTCTGTCTTCTCTTCTCTCTTCTCTCTCTCTCTTTCTCCCTCTCTCTCTCTCTCTGTCTCTCTCTCTGTCTGTCTCTCTCTCTCGCTCTCTCTCCATTTTCTTCTTCAAACACACACACAAAAAAACATCCGGCAACAGACCTGTGTCAAGCACCAGCTTATCAATGCCTCGATAATCGCGACAAGTTATGTGCATTAGACTCGTCTCGCACCTTCCCTCCCTCCCTCCCTCCCTCCTCCTCCCTTCCGCCGTCCTCCCTCTCTCTGTCCGTCTGTCTGTCCTCCTACCTCCTTTTCTTCTTCCTCTTTCTCTCTTCCTGCTTCCTCTCTCTCCTCTCTCTCTCCTCCTCTCTCTCTCTCTCTCTCTCTCTCTCTCTCTCTCTCTCTCTCTCTCTCTCTCTCTCTCTTCTTCCTTCCTCTCTCTCTCTCCTTCTCCCTCTCCTCCTTTCCTCCACTCCCTCTTTCCCTCCTCTACTTATTTTAAAACACGTGTAAAAATCGTTTCTCACCCTATTACTTACAATCCTAATCCGCCGCACTTATACTTAAATATCCTAATCGCCACGCCCTTTCTAAGTGTATTTAAAGTATTTAAGGGTAATAAGGTCACGTGATCTCCCTACCTAAATGGAATCTCCCAAAAACATGTGATTGATGACGTCACCGCATGACATAACACGTGACTAAGACGATCGTGGATAATGTTGTAACGATATTTGATTCCTTGTTCGTTATCGGCAAGGGGGGGGGAGAGGGAGGGAGGAGAAAGGGGGAGGGAGAGGGAGGAGAGAGGGGGGGAGAGGAGTTAGGAGGAGGAGGGGACGAGAGGGGAAGGAGGAGGAAGAGAAAGAGGAGAGGGAAAGAGGGGGGAGGGAGAATGGGAGGAGGAGGAGAGGGGAAGAGGGAGGAGGGAGTAAGGGAGTAACCAAAGAAGGGAAGAAAGAAAAACGCCCCAAAACACGGAGATAACAAAGAAATGAAAACACTCAGAGAGAAGAAAACAACCGAGACAAAAGACAAAACAAAAGAAAAGAAACAGAACGAAACAGACCAGACAAAAGTACGAAAAAAATAAAAAATAAACAAAACAAAAACGCAGCCTTGAGACAGAAGAAGAAGAAAAACCCTTAAAAAAATACAAACAGCCAAAGAAAAACCCTTAAAAAATACAACAGCCAAAGAAAAAACCTTAAAAAATACAAAGCCAAAGAAAAAAAAACCCTTAAAAAAATAAATACAAATTGCCAAACCACTTACTCCGAAATTTACCTTCTCGTCTTTCACGGGCCGCCGCCCCCCGGTCCTCCTGACGGGCGGCTGCTGGATCTGAGCGGGCATGTTCAGCGCCTGCCCCGGGTTCGTCGAAATGAGACTCGACTGAGGGCGTACCTGGACAACGCCCGTGGCTGAGGACGCAGAAGACGCTGACGAAGACGAGGACGAAGTGGGCGCCGGTACCTGCGTCAGAGTTCCGCCGCCCCAGCACTTGGAGTCTACGGAGATGTAGGTGCTGCCTGTGGGAGGCGAAGAAGAAGGGGGAGGGGGTTAGGGGCGGGTGGGAG